CTCTCTCTCTCTCTCTCTCTCTCTCTCTCTCTTCCTCACACACACACACACAATGGCTAGATGCCAATGAATTCAGTTCGTCGCTCGCTTCCTGCAGAACACACGAAACTCCGCTGCGAGGAAACTTACCGCCTTGTGGTTCAGGTTGTGCTCGTACGTACGTGCATGTGGTGTGTGTGTGTGTGTGTGTGTGTGTGTGTGTCTGTGTGCGCGCGCGCGCGCGCTTGTGTGTTTGTGTGCGTAGCGCGTGGCGTGCCTAGTCGCACCCGGCCCAGGCGGCGACAAGAGATCCAGGAAACGTTCAACATTATTATATTACGAGCGTGCGTGCACGTGTGTGTGTGTGTGTGTTGTCTATTCGAATAACTTATGGTTTGAGCAAGGTATATCAGACCCCTGTCTCCTCCCGCACAGTTTCAACAGGGAAGAAATGACATATCACTTTGATTAAACCCGCAGGGTGAAACTTTCGTCCGTGTACGGCATTACACTGATTCATAAAGTTTGCACACATTTAAGAGTTCAACTCTCTTCAGTTTAAGAATTTCCCAATTGAGTGCGTCTCATTGAAGTATGTGTGCAACTTCCGAGTTTGACACATTTATGAGCATACCTCTCCCTCGAACACAGCTCAGCGATATTTTGGTGAAACGAGCTTGCTTCGTTTTTGCTCGGCTCTGACTAACTGCATGCATTGGGGTCCAGATCATTCAAACTGCTTCAAACAACAGCCCCACACACACGTGCTGCATTATATTCTTTTTTTCTTTGTGAAGCCAACGTCGGAAACGTCTACCGAAATTGATTTCCCGGCCTGCTCCGCCTCGCCACACCCGCCTGCACGCCGTGGCGCAGCGTGGTGGAGCGTGGCGCGGCCCCGCTTCACCCGTTAACCTTCGCGCGCCGATGATGGACGACTGCGAGTCGTGGGTTCGAATCTTCGCGCGGTCACCGATTCGTTTTTCTTTTAATTATGTCGGTTGCAAACCCGTGATGTTGGTGCTCTTTCCTATTAGACCCGGTGGGGGCACGCAGCAAGGAGGGGAGAGGGGGGAGGGCTTACAGATTGTAGCGAGGGTGTTTGCCAAGCAGAGAGAGAGAGAGAGAGAGAGAGAGAGAGAGAGAGAGAGAGAGAGAGAAGAGGAAGGGAGTGAGACATTCAGTTGCGCCCCATGTTATGTGAGTCGAGCTACTTCGCGTTGCTTTCCGCACACCCACGCTCCGGCCACATCAGGACCTTTACCTGGGATAACCAGTTCCCTTTAACCCTTCCCCGTCCCCTCTCAGCGAGGCTCGCCCCCCTCCCCTCATCTCTCTCTTTCTCATGCTGTATCTCTCTCGCTACCCTTAACCGCTTCTTCGCCTTTCCTGTCTCGCCTGATTGCAAGAGCGAAAATGTTTCCCTCTTTGGACGTTAAATCTTTTTGTTCCGGAATAACAGAGGGTACTTTTCTCTGCGCTCTGTGCAGCGCCGTGCGTGCCGCGCTGTTACGAACAGCCTCCCGCGGGGTCCCGGCTGCACCGGCTGCGCTGTCCGGGCTGTGCGCTGATGGCCCGGAATCCCCAAGCCAAGCGGAGGAGTGTTGTGTCCCACATAGAGCTGGACTTGTCGAGCGGCCACAGGTGCGACCAGCACCTCTATCCTCCAACGCTAGCCTCAGTGTGTGCCTGCGCGTAACGGCTGTGTTCTCAAACAATTACTGGCGGACAAACATCCCATCCCCCTCGCGGGCTTGCCTACCGTCGCCAATCGTCTGGGCACGTCCCAAAACGCACACTGAAGGACGAAGGTGTCTCGTCTCAATCTCAATGGTATTTGCAGCCCTACAAAGGGTGTGCGATTGAGGACACCCAGAAAAAATTGAAACTTGTAGCAACCATCCTATAGTAGACCAGGGATAACCCTACAAGATATCGTTGTACCGTACCAACACTCGCATGGTTACATCAACAATCGAAACGGTTCGGTTTCTGTTTTCGTTGTCGGAACCACTTACGGTAAAAACAATGTCTCTTTTTTTGAGGAAAAAGAGAAAACTTTGAGGAACTCCGATCTCGCCTCAGATTTTGAGGAATCTTCTAAAAAAATAAGGAAAAATCCCACAGTTTTTTGAGGAGACTTCCTCGAAATCTGAGGAGTTTTTGTCAAACCAGGGGAGTTCCTCAGAAGTCTTCCCTTTTCCCTCAAAAAATTGAGACATTGTTTTTACCGTGCTACGTGCGTGTTGCCGCAGCCATAATTTGATGGTTACCCCTTGTCTACCCTATGATGGTTGCTAAAAGTTATAGTTTTTCTGGGTATAGTATACCTGTTGTGACAATGCGCTTCTGTCACTGTCATCCTGTTATCTAGACTGACAATGCCGACTTTTCAAGTTGCAGAATCCTATATTTTGTGGAGTCCGTCATTAGTGCTTAACTCGACAGTTTGATAGTTGAACGTTTTAACGGGATTTGTCCGTTTACGCCTGCACACAGTTCTTTAATAAGCGAGTCCGCAAGGAATTAGATCGAACCGTGGAGGGAACTATTTACTGAAAAAGAAAGTGTGCACCTGCAAGTGCCCAACACTATGTTGCACACTATTAATTAACGCTTAAGCTATTGATTGGATATTTCTATACTGAATCTGTTTAAAAGTAAAGTTAAATACTTAAAATTGGCCAACTAGTCACTTTGAAGTGTTCAAATTTACTTTTCAACACTTTAGAGTATTTAAATTTTCCATTCCATCACCCAAACGTGTGCACAACGGCGTTGAACTCTGCATGTACATGCCAGTTGCACCCTCTTTTTTATCAGTACTTCACATTGCACATGGGCGTGGGCAGATCAACACGTGGGATGGAAGTCCACACTAATATGCCAGACTATCCCGTCCAGCACAAAAGCATTTATGCTTTAGGTAGACCCCTGTCAACCGTAGGGTAGGCCACCCGCCGAGGTTCGCTGCGCTCCCGAACTCTTGTTTGCCTATCTATCAGGCGCTATCATCTCTCGACTTTGCTCCTTCAAACGACCTTTGCCTGTATTGAGGTCCATAATTCTACGCCTAGACCTAGGTGAAACATTTAGAATCATCCCTATTCTTTCGGTCTAATTTAGTTCACACCCATCTAAGTAAATTCGCCCGAAAAACCTTTGATGAAATCAGAAAACTCTCTCTTTCTCTCTCGCACACATTTGCCTCGTATTCGTGCGGTTCCCGTAACACCTGCTGCAGGCGTTTGTCCGTCGCCCCCTCCTCCCTCCATCCTCGCCGATCGTGCTCTGCCCTTCACCTAGGAGCTAACGGTTGCGCAACTCTCTCACGAGTCAGTCTGCGCGGTGTGCTGCACACTGTGCGACCACCGCAGACTGCACGTGCGCGCGTGCTCATCCCCCTCCACGACTGAGTGTCTGCCGGATGCGTTCTCGTCCCTCGCTCGTGGAGTTTTGGACCGAATGGCGCGATCCAGTGACGTGCGGAGCGGAGTGTTATCAGCCCATCTAACGCGTGATCGCACCCGTGCCCCAATGCATCCCGAGCGATAAAAATCTGTGACCGGGGATTATTTTACGTTGGAAATTTGGCAGTACGACTCTGGACTTCCCTCCTCCTCACACACACTCCCCGTGTGCTTGTGTACACTGTGATTCGAAGGCGTTCTCTCTCACAAAACCTGTTTTAACAGTGTCCGCATCGGCAAGGAAGCTCTGCAACAGCAGACGGAATCACTTGCAGCAGCGCCAGTCTGTGACGACAGCGTGTTTTTAAGAGTGTCGGCGACTGTCCTATTTCAGGCCGAACGTGTTGCGCGGGAGGAACCGGGAGTGGGATAGGTTCGGGTCTGGCGGCGCGGCGCGGCCAGGGCGCTTGCTAGCATCCCAGCACGGCTGGGTCCACACAGACGCGCGCGCACAGACACACACGTACACACACCACTTCTGTTTTTTACGAGGCAAGACCAGCGACTTCCACAACCGAGAAAAGTGACTTGTTTTTTTATTATTATACACGCACTCTAACCATGTGTGCGGTCGACGCGTAGTGTGGCATCATAGCAAAATTCCTAATAACAATAGTGGACAATTAGCTCTGCGCGCGGCGAGTGTTGCAGCGCTAATGACGACCGGGATTGCATGTATCGATGATTGGAAACGACCGATGCTCCTGCTGCGGCTGTGACGATGCGCCGCCATGCGCCGCGCAGCGACGCTCCTTACACTTGTCATGACTGATTTTCCCGCGACTGGTCACTCGAAAGATGGAAATTGACGTCATTTAGTTCCGGTCGCGACAAAGACTGTTTGGTCAAACGAAACGTAAAGGTGCGAACGGAAACAACCCAGAAAATGGGATGCACGTCAACGCAACGAGCGATCGTCATATGTTGAACTTCGCGCCCCGGTGTCACCTCCAGCAGTGTCACTTCTAGCGTCACGTCGTAAAGAATCCTGGAAACTACGTGATGATCTCTAAACACTTTGCTTGTGAGTGTGAGTGAGGCCGGGATGGAGAGGCGGGAGCGAAAGAGGTGGAAAGTAGGTGGGGAAGTAGTTTGTGGGGGGAAGGGGGGAATGAACACCACTTTGTGGAATACTGTGACGTGCGAGTGACACTGACATCATACCTCTCCGTGACTTGCTTCACGCCAGCACGTTCAAAGTCCTTCTCTCTGTGATGCAGTGTCCACTAAATACCGAAGATGCCAACTCTTTACCCCTCATTGAAAGTGCTTTGTACATCATTGTCGTAGGACTCCGTCCTCCCCAAGTAAAATTACTAACGCATATCTATGCGCTATAAGCAGTTACTAAGATTTTCCTTTACGAACAAACAAAAAATGTTACCCTTAGACACTTAATTTACGATAGAAAAAGAAAAGTCCCGTACGCCCATGCTTATATATTTTTCATATGGAAGTACAGAACAAATGAGAAGATTTCACAAAAACAACTCATTAATTATTTTCAACGTTAAGAATTTTAGGGACCAGATTAGTTAAAAAATTTCGTTACACGCTAATGAAAGACGCCACTCCAAATCGCACGAGAGTGGTGTGTGACTCTCTCCGTCTGAAATCGATATAAACCAGGTAGAGGCCACGTCGCTCCTCGGCGTGGGCGTTTCTCCCCTCCAGTTCCCTTATTAGTTTAATTTGAGAGAGAATAAGTACTTAATGGCCTGGGTCGCGGGGGCCTGGGCCGGGTCCAGGCGGACGGGGG